GAAAGGCTGAAGGGGCTGAGGCTCTGCAGCTGGAGAAGAGGAGCCTGAGGGGTGACCTCAGTCATGTTTATAAATATGGAAAGGATGAGTGTCAGGAGGACGGAGCCAGGCTCTGCTCAGGGATGTCCAGTGACAGGACAAGGGGCAACGGGTGCAAGCGGGAGCACAGGAAGTTCCATAAAAGCATTAGGAACATGTTTCCCTGTGCGGGTGCCGGAGCCCTGGCCCAGGCTGCCCAGAGAGGGTGTGGAGTCTCCTGCTCTGGAGACTTTCCAACCCGCCTGGACACGTTCCTGTGGGGCTGCCCTGGGTGACCCTGCTCTGGCAGGGGGTGGCACTGAGGGATCTCTGGAGGTCCCTTCTGACCCCAACATCCTCTGTTTCTGTGGAGCTCCAGGAGCGGCAGGGGACAGCCTGCTGTCTCACCGCGGGCTGCGGTGGGACCTCTGCTCCAGTGCACCTCTGCCCCCTGCTTCACTGACCTTGGTGTCTGTGAGAGTGTTTCATATCCTGCTCCAATCCCCACTGCAGGATTTTTACCCTTCTTAAATACATTGTCACAGAGGCGCTGCCACCACCTCTGCCGGGCTCAGCCTTGGCCAGAGGCAGGTCCCGCCTGGAGCCGTGGAAGCTTCCAGTAGCTTCTCGCTGCTGCCAAAACCCTGTCACCTAAACCCTTGATAAACAGTGCTGTGCGATAGCTTCCTTCGGAGATGGTGAAAGTGACTGAGGCTTTTAGGGCGTTGTTTTAAAACATGTACTTTCTTTACCACAAACCTGATCTCTGTGTAGAACCAGAGTTTTAGGCCTTCTTGCCATGGTTTTGGTTGTGGCACGTGACATCTTCTTGTGGAAGTTTTTCAAATTACGGCTGTCTGAGGGCAGCTCTCGTATCCTAAGTTATTTGCAACATATTTTTCTAACAAGTCAGTCATGTTAGGTTTAAGCTGCATTGCTTTGGAGTTGTTGATATTTGCTGTGCTTCTTGGAAGTAAAATTGCATATAAGTAATACCTGCCAAAACCAGCAAACGTCCTTCATATAATGGCGTAGTTTGAGCTGAATGTACATTTTACACAGTAACTTGCATGACATTTGCCTTCCCTCATCTCGTGGGGGATTTTTTTCCCTCCTTTCTCCCTTTTCCTGCTCCACCTGAAAAAGATGGTGAATTTAAAAGAGAAGATTAAAGAACTTCATCAGCAGTATAAGGAAGCATCAGAAGTGAAGCCGCCTCGTGATATTACAGCAGAGTTCCTTGTGAAGAGCAAACACAGAGATCTGACCGCACTTTGCAAGGTAAGGGACGTGCAGCACTGAAGTTGGTGGTTTCTAAGGACTTCAGCAGCCGTGTGTAATTAGCCACACGTCGCCCCAGTCCAACACTCACGAGAATGTGAGTGCTGGTGACTGGGTTGCAGCTCTGGTATCTTTGTGGCTCTGTCCTTTGTGGCTCGCAGTGGAGAGTATTAACATGCTGCAGGCACGGTTGTAGGTAGTGGTCTGCTGGCTCGTGTCAGATAGCGTTTAGTGTTTTGAACACTAAATTTTAGGTCAGACTTGGTCTTTAGTACTGCTGGGTCTCACAAAGAGTCTGGAAGTAAAATTCGCATTTGAAGAGAGGTGCCCTTTCTGTAAGGTGAACAGGTGGTTTCCTGAACAAAAGGCTTCTTTCTATCCAATGATTCTAATTTAGAGACTCTGTGTTGAAAAGCAGAGTTAGTCCTCCCATCCTCCTCTCTCTTGATGTAGAAGTATGCCTTGTAAAGGAAACCTTAAAAAATCTGTTCTTTCTGTGATAGTGAAAGACACGTTGCTCACCTGGGTCAGGTAGAACCAAGGATTATTTTTCAGGTGCTTCTTCAAGAACGTACGTTTATTTGGAAGCTGAATGTGTTTGTGTAGACACGTGTGTAGCAGCTCTGCTGTTTTGTCACCAGTGCACATCGTTGTGCTGTTGTCGCTATGACTGGACACTCCCAGTTCCTCTGCCTTGAAGCAAGATGGTTGTTGCCTGTGTCCCTAGTTCTGCTGATGTTTTCTAAAGTGAGAAAAAAAGCACCCTCTGAAAGAAGCTTGAGTTAGGTCATATCTTTGCCTTTTCCATGATTGCTTCTGCTTTGGAAATCTCTGCTTGACGTTAACTAATCTTTAAAGAGAGAAGGAAGAATAAAAATCATATTTTTTGCAAGATGAAAAGGTTCTCAGTGTCATAGGAGTCCATAAGATAGCCAGGACTGTAATAGACCGTCCTGTTCTTCAGATTTGGGTGTTTAAATCCCTGAAATATTAGTGTACTGGTCTTTTTTGCAGCGTGGCACTGACTTCCCTGTATTTAAACTGCAGAATGGCAAGTTAGACTGGATTAAATGTTAGAAAAGAACTTTAGTTAGATTCCACTAAAATTATGAACCTTCCACTGATTTCTTTTGAGATTAGGTCTAGTCTGATACTCCATGATGTCCTTTTGCTTGTAAACTGATTTTAATGTTAGCTTTTAATTTCATTAGGAGTATGATGAATTGGCAGAAACACAAGGGAAGCTGGAAGAGAAGTTACAAGAACTTGAAGCCAATCCGCCAAGGTAGAGATCAAAATAAGTATAAATACTGTATAAAAACAAATACTTAGAAAAGCAGGGATTTTACTACTTTTCACCGAGTTTCAAAAATGTTCTGACGTGCTTTCTTCCGAGTATGGTAACTCGGGGGGTTAGGACAGTACGAACACAAAGTTTGAGCTCCATTGGCTTCAGAACTCATCTTCCTCGTTTTTAGAGGTGACTTGCACAGAAAAGGTGGTTCTTAACTACAGGTGCATTTTGGTACAAATCCTCACTGTAACCAGTGCCTGATCTCAGGAGGCCTGTGGGGTTTGAATTCCCTGGCAGTACCAAGGCTCACCTGTCCTGTGTGCTTGGGCAGAATGTTGCTGGTTTGTGCTCTGTGTGATTATACTCGCTCTGTAGTTGTCTTCTGTATACAGGCTAATTAAGCCAGTATTTCTGTAACTTTTTTTTGTTTCTAAAATTAAATTTCTAGCTTCAGTGAGAATATTTTCCATGAATTCTACATGGAAAATGTGACTTTGCTGTGTTTTGGTACGCATCTTTCATGAAGGAGGTCTGAATGTTTGAAGCAGAATCTTGTGTTATTTTTTCTTTTTATTTCTCCACTAAGGAGGGATTCAAACAAAAAATGTTGTGAGTTCAAAAGCAATGTGTTTGCAGTGTCCTACTCTAGCAAACTAACTGCCCCTGCATTATGTTTGTATTTTTCTAGTGATGTTTATCTGTCATCGAGAGACAGGCAAATACTCGACTGGCATTTTGCAAACCTGGAATTTGCTAATGCTACACCCCTGTCTACGCTTTCACTGAAGCACTGGGACCAGGTAGGTACTTGCTGTATTCATTCAGCAATACACTAAAAATCTAAGCTCTGTTTATAAAAATTTATGATTATTTCATTCTCATGACAGGTTCCCTGTCTTAAGAGTTTCTAAACCCCTGAGTGCTGTCTGCTTTTGAGCTCTTCCGTGATGAATATTTGCTGATAAAATTGCAGACAGCTTTTTGTTAGTGCCAGAACGATCTCTTAATGCTGTCTGCTGAAAGTTCCTGTATTTATTGCTTGGAAGGATTTCAAATTTGACTCATTCCTTTGAGGGGAAAAAAAAAAGGAAAAATTTTTGCTGTTGTGTAGAGTTGCTGATTATTTTCTGTTGAATTTCATTCATTTCTGTGATTTCATTGTAAATGCGTACTCTTTATGCATCTGGTTTAGGATGATGACTTTGAATTCACCGGCAGTCACCTGACTGTGAGGAATGGTTACTCCTGTGTGCCGGTAGCCTTGGCGGAAGGGTTGGATATTAAATTAAACACAGCCGTTCGGCAGGTTCGCTACACAGCATCAGGTAAATGAAACCACCTTCTCCAGAACACTGCTCTGAGGGAGTAAGATCACAGAAATCAGACCTCGGTGCTTCTGGGAGCAGGTGTGAAGACTGATCTCTTAAAGCCCCTGCCATTATATATTTTGGGTTAGGTGAACAATCACATTTCTTATTGTGTAGGAAGCTGTTAAAGATTTATTAAGGTTTTTGACTTGTTTCTATGGCTGGTTTGACATCCTCCTTGTCAGTTGTATTTAGTGATTCATAAGTTCACATTCGTTCTCCCGTTGCTTAATTGATTGAAGAGTTCAGAGTGAGAGACCTCGGACTGCTTAAGGCTGGGAACCACAGGGTCTGGTGTAAGTGACTGGAAAAGGGACTCAGACTAATGGAAGAAATAGATCTGTTGTCATTCTTCAAAACATGGGGCTTGGGAAACTGTCAGCTGGGAGAGCAATTCAATGAGAGGCTCACTTTTATTTATCTCACTCTTATGGGTTCTTTTATGTGCATGTTGTGCATATATTTAAATATCATTTGCTGGCCTAGGTGAACCTTTAGGCTTATCCCAGTGTGGCCATTTTCAGATGCTCTGTAAATTACACTTTCTGGAATTGAGCTCCGTGGCCAGTAGCATTCATCTGACGACAAGTGAAGTATTTGTTAGTGTAAAGCTGTCTCCATAAATGAAATGTTTTCCGATATGGATATGTTTTTATGGTAGTTTCTTTTAATTTTTAAGCTGGTGCTCTTGCCTCGTGGACTGTTAAATGACTGGTTTTTGTGTCCCCTTTCCAGGCTGTGAGGTGATAGCTGTAAACACCCGATCTACCAGCCAGACTTTCATTTACAAATGTGATGCTGTGCTGTGTACTCTTCCCTTGGGAGTACTGAAGCAGCAGCCTCCAGCCGTGCAGTTTGTGCCGCCTCTTCCTGAGTGGAAAACTTCTGCAGTGCAGCGGATGGGATTCGGCAACCTCAACAAGGTGACCTGATCACTGAGGGAACCGTGATAGACCGGGGGTGGCAGTGGGTACAATCTGAATTGCGTATGGAAACTGGAAGAGTGTAGGTTTACAGAATCACAGAATTGTTGAGGCTGGC